CTATTTATAGAGTTTCCAGCCAGACCCTCTCATAACGGACCGGGCTCAACTCGGCCCACATAAGTCAGGCCCATATCAGACTGATTAAGAATCTTTATATCCAACCTTATTAGACCAAGCCCGTAAATGGTTAATTACAATCTCAATTAATGTAGCTCACTTACAAGAAAACTCTTACAGAGCAAGCAATTAAAGAATAAACAAGGCATAAAGCAGTAAATAATGCAAGGAAATAAGAACCCCCGAGCAGTATCAGATAAAAATTAAGCACGGCCTCATTATTAAATCCCGAGACAAGACCCCTTGTGCTATGCCTAAGAAATAGACGTGTATAAAATTAAACTAACGATGTATTTAGTCTAAATGACAAGAATAAAAGATTGAACATGATGCCATGAATGAACTTAATCTAATCCTATGATTTGCTTTCTATATAGAAGCAATCCCATATTATTTTTTGCCTTTTATATTAGTCATGATAAAACTAATTGAAGTGCAATAATAACAAATTAACAATACCTGCTGAAACAAACATGTAGTCTATGTACGAAAACAATCTTTGCATCACGGATCCGATTTTTGCGACAGAACTTGCAAACTAATGAACAGTCGATATTTACTGGAGCTTTAAACCATTTATTTCCTGCGGGGACGACATTAACGCACACTTGAAAGTAATAGAAACGGATGGAACGCAAGGCTGGAAAATCGAAAAAAAATAAACTGAATTAAATATGATGTGAACATGAGATCGTGATTCGTGATTCCTCCTATGAATGTGATCTCCTTGCTCTTTATAAGCCTGGTTTCTTATATTTTCATGCAAACTCTTCTTTCCTACTTCAGAATAATTATATATGTTCTTCTTGCTTTTAGGAAATTAAGGGACTGCTCTTGCTTGGACCAATATATGGTCCTACGTGTGACCAATTTTCAACCTTTTTTCTATTTTATCTTGCCATGAATATATCTCTTTATTCAGCCGACAATATCCCTTTCCTTTCTTCCTTGGCCCTCTTATTTGACCGAAAATTTCTTTCCTTTGATGTGCTTTGTGAATCCTTTGCTCCTCGAGTTGCTTTTCAAGTGTGCTTTGCACAGGTGAAATTTGTCCAAGCAAATGGGTTAGCCGAATTTCACAGGGTTCTAATTCAATGTGGGCTTTCTCTTGGAATTTCAAACGAAATTAGGGCCTCTCCCCTCAAACGCAACTAGCACTTTTGTGGCGAAAAGTGTCAAAAAAGTCTTAAATCTTTTGCATTAATGTCAATTGAGTCCTAAATTTTTTTTTTTGCCAATTGAGTCTTAAACTTTTTGTTTTTGTGTCAATTCAGTCCTTCCTGCTAATTTTGACCGGATTTTGCTAACGTGGATGCCGGCCGGCCGATCGCCGGCGCTGACGTGGATAATTTTTAATAATACTTTAATATTTTTTTGAATTTATATTTATTTTTTTCTTTTTTTATTTTTTATTTTCTTTTTCTTTTTTCTTTTCCTCCTTTCTCTTCCTCTAGCCGGTCGCCGGTCCGACGACCGGCCAGAGGCCAAAGGACGACGAGGCGAGCCACGCCAGCCTTGGGCGAGCCTCGCCCTCGCCGGATGGCCGCGAGGACGGCCTCGCATTGGGCTGGCAAGGCTCGCCCGGCCCTCGCCATAGCCGAGCGAGGCACGACCTTGCCAAATCCGGTGAGGTCGGGCCTCGCCCAGCCGCCGGCGATTGCCGTCGCAGCCTCTGGCGAGGTCGAGCCTCACCGGCGGCTAGGCGAGGCTCGCCTTCGCCGTCGCTGGCGAGGGCGAGCCTCGCCAGTGGCCGATGTGGCTCGCCAGACCTCGCTGGCCTCTGGCCTATTGCCGGTCCAGCGACCGGCTGGAGAAAGAGGGAGGAGGAAAAAAAAAAGAAAAGAAATAAAGAAATAAAAATTCAAAAAATTATTAAAATATTATTAAATTTTGTTCATGTCAACGCCAGTGATCGGACGCTGGCCTGCCGGCGTCCACGTCAGCAAAATCCAACCAAAATTAATCGGAAATACTGAATTAGCACAAAAACAAAAGGTTTAGGCCTCAATTGGCACAAAAAAAAAGTTTACGACTAAATTGAAGGTTTAGGACCTTTTCAACACTTTTCCCCACTTTGTGTGGACCTATGAAATTGTTCCTAATATTTATAATGCAAATGCAAATTATGTTAATGTTATTTTTGTTTAGGGATAAGGGTTGATTCCTAATTTTTTTATGTGATTTATTACTATAAATATGATAGCAAAAATTTAGGTGTCGACAGTAAGCTATTGCATAAATTTAAACATGCAATCAATCTTAGACTAAGTATCCTAACTAGATGATGGCCATAATACATTATATGACATGGAAAGCAACTAAGCATGCTTTAAAGTTAGCAATAAGCTGCAATTCCTATCTAAATCTAATCCCGATATTTATCTTTTCCATTTATCGTTTTTCTGTCTTTTTAATTCCAATTTATGATAAATATGACCTAAAGTCTAAGCTATGTTACATGAAGTACCAGTGCATTGCTAATAGGCGTCATATATCATTGTAAACAAATATGGAACATGAACAAGCAAGGACCAACTAGGATTTGGACCAAGGGAGTCATGACAGCCGGTTTTTTAACAACATGCACACGATCTAAAGACTAATTATACAAACCCAAACGACGTGGCCGAGCAAAATGAACCGGTAGACCGAGATAATGAGGTTGCGATTCCACCCTTGGAAGCACGGCGAAGGAACCAAAGCCAAACAAAACCAAAATAAAGACATGAAATCTATATCACATGATGAAGAATGAGGATGAACAAGGCACCACAAGCTCACGGATCACCGTTTTGAACTCACGGCCGAAACACCCTAGCTCACGCTCGCACAACTCTCCTGTCTACCTCTTGGTTTGGCCTCCAAACTCATGGTTTTCTCAAGATTTTTGCTCGGTTTTTCCTTCTAATCTCTCACACTTGAACCCTCAAGCTTTTTTGGAGTAGAAAAAATGGCCAAGGGCGATCCCTAATGGGAATGAACTCCCTATCAAATGTTCACGGCACAAGCAGTTTCCAGCAGTCCATGTCCACCGGTCTTCGACTTGATCCAATGGTCCTTGCCTTTATATTTATCACTTCAATCAATCCCAATCAATCAAGGTCAAATAAAGTCTCTTCCCTCTTGGAACTGAGCCGAAAGTCTGCTACCATTAAACCCAAAAAATCGGATAGTGAGGCCCTTAAATCAAGCTGCAAACCGGTCCTCTCATTTCCAGAATTTGGTTGGCCACTACTGAACCGGTTTGGTCCTCCAAGGTTTCTCTAACTTCTAGCTCATGTGTAGTTAGTCTCTAGTTAGTGGGCCAGTTGGATGGCTTAATGGTGCAAGAAAGATGTCCGAATAGGTCGGAAAAGTTAAAAACGTTCAACTCGGCTAAGTAGGGGCAAACTGTACAATTGCGCAAAAACGGTTAGTACGCACTCCTCGTTCGTCCGTCTCCTCTGAAATTTGTAGGGAAGTAAGCTGACACATCAATATTGATCATGTAAGATATTGGGAAGTCGCGATTTGGTGACCTAAACCGGACATTTTTCGAGTTAGGGGACCAGCCGACACCCCTTGGGAAAAACCAAATATGGGAAGCAACGATTAGAACCAGCACACAAGTCATATACCATTGAAAAATTGACTCGAAGATGATCATCGTGGTACCTAACTCGCATTTTTTCAATTGTTTTGGACCTTGAGACAAGCAAGAGAAGTTAGGCCAAAATAAGCCCCTCACTGCTTGATTTTTCAGTCATTTGCGGCTGTAATTGGTCCTTAAGCTCCGGCTTCTCCGTCGATCAAAATTTCGCTGTCGGGCCCAATATCTCAATCTTATGATGTCTCCAGTTGCAAGGCGCAAAAAAAGTGCAGTGAGGAATATCAGTGCATAATGATGTAGTGTTGACGCTTTCGGTTAAAGGTCGAGTTTCGCCGTTTTCATCAGATTCGACCCTTGACCTTTGCGAAATGCATGAGTGATCCTAATTCTCTGCATTGGGTCTGAAATACTAAATTACAATGCCTTTGGTTTCTAAATGCAGAGAAATGATGTAAGAAACAGGAATGAAAGATGGTGTTGGATCCATGTTTTTTCTGCTAGTTCGGATTTCGTCGCTATTCGTGAATAACCTTTACAAAATGCAGGGATGATCTAACGGGAGGGAAACTTAGGTACCAACAAACTACCATATCTCTAGTTTCTAAATACACAATGAATGCAACAACAAAAATGAATGCAAAATTGTTGTTTCTACTTAGGGGATAAATTATGTTGTTTGACGGTGAATTTGATTCCTAAACTTTTCGAATACATGAATGATCTTTTAGGTGAATTTTTAGGTGTTAATAGAACCCTGATCAAGTTTTGACTTATAGTATGTCTGAAGACTTTCTCTAGATCAAAGTCATTGGAAACGCATGTCCATATTCTAAAATCAAATTTTCTCGAACCTTTTCGTTGTTGCACAGTAACTTAGCAAGCACAGATTTTCCTAAGTATCCTAGTCAAAGTATGGGAGGGCATGTGGCCTGAGCTGACTCAACACACTCTCAATGGCAAAAAAGTACGGGGAAATCAAGAGAGCTTCATAAACAGAGTTAAAACTTCCAAAGGCTTTGAGCACATAAGAAAAATTTTATCCTTCATGCAATTAGCCGGTGTGCATTCATATTCATAACATCTGGTCCTAGGATCAAAAGAAAAAGAAAAAATAATCTTCCTATGTAGAAGTGAAGTACAACATATTAAAAACCAAAAAAATATGGTTTTCTAATTGCATTATTGTTAGGAAACTCTTCAAATAGTCTAGTGGAAGAAATATAAAAAGAACAAGTAACTAATAGTAATTTACCACAAATAAGATTCAATGGTGTGGCGTGATCTCATCCGTTGTCTGTGAACTAAAGACAAATATTATTTTAAGAAAATTTAAATAGAGATAATTCTATAGTTGGTCTCAAACAATACAAGTAAGTCATATTCACCATTTAGAAATGTGCAATACAAACGCAAGCAAATAATAAAGAACAACATGCATTCAAGGAAAGAAAGAGAAAAGTACAATATCAACGGCCATTGTTTTTGTCCCTGAAAATGAAAGAGATTGACGAAGGATTAGCTTATTGCAAGGTCAAATCGTTGCGGAGATCCACATGGCTTAGCAAATAGATCATGGGAGTTCATCTGCACCCAAAAGAGGAAAATAAATGAGCTTAGAGTATCTACAACATAGTATTATGGCATTTATTGTAGAGTCATGCAAATTGGTCATTTTTAAATATCTTTTCACTTTCTACTGTTGTATTATGAGAGTTATGAAAATTATATATGATTGCTGAAAGTTAGAAACACTTACTTAATAGAAGCACTTACATTGAGAAACATAATTAGAAATAGTTATAAGAAGTTGAACCTCATTACCTTAAAGAATTGTGAACATAGATATATGCAACTATTTTGATTTAACAAATTAATGGAAGACATTTTGATATTTTTATAATGAGATTGAGAAAATTAATGTTTCTCCCTTGGGAAAGTTAGCGGGAAGGGAATAAATTTCTCAATGGGTCAAACTTTTCGCGAATATCAAGGTAAATAAACAATTTTTTTGGATGATTCCTCTTTATTAATGTTGACTGGGGGAAGTTTTCACTGGCTCCATCCGACACTCCTAAAGCCAAGTGTCTTGCCAACAAAGATTATCCCAAAGCCTTCAAATTACGTTATTAAGACTAGCAATCATTCGCGTACTATGCCTGGAACTGGATTTAGGGTATATTAATTGTTTACTTTACTATAAATTGTTTATATAATATATATATAGATATATATTCTTTTCTTTTCTCATTTCAATATTTTTATTGAATAGAAATTCAATTGAAGAATTAATGCTTATTTTCTTTGGGATTAAGAATATTAATTTCATGTAAATAATTCTAAATGATAATCCTTTAATATTGAGATTCTTTTAAAATTTAATGACCTCTTCTTGGTTGTATTTTGGGAATTTCAAATTGGTTAAAAATTGCTACTTGCCCCTCAATCATCTTTCTATGTGGCAAGTTTGGATGAGAACCTGCAAAGCTTTCAGTTTACTATATACTAATGCTATTGGGTCAATATGACATGGCTTTTATCAAAACAAAGAAATTGAAAAGTGCCCCTAAGTTCTTATAAGCTTCGCTAAATGCATTTTGAAAATTTAACGCCTTATTTGGTTCCTCAAAGTTTTCTCAACTAGTGTTTTCATTTCCAATTGATCGAGAATGAAAAGATGTCGTGAAAATGCATTTCATTTCTTAAAAACTAATTGTCAAATTAAGATGAGGGAAACTGTGTTTGAATTAAAGTATAGACTCGAAATAACCTTTCAGTGATCTATGTGCTTTCATCCTATATGAAACATTGAGATTGTGAAGACGACCTGTTCTACAATCTTGATGGAACATAAGTACATACTCAAGTTGCTCTTAGGAAGAAAACCTTTATTTTTGCTTAAACTTTTAGACTTGTTTCTGCTTTCTCTTTTACTAAAAAGAAAATGGAAACCGAAAATGTTTTCTGGATTCAAAAGAGTTGTAAAGTTTCTTATATAGTTGGCTTTCTAGGAAGTACCTTTTCGTCAATAAGTTTCCAATTATTTCACATTTGCTTTTTGATGTGGTTAGTGAATTTAACTTGTCCTTCTAGGACACTTGCAACAGATTGATTTGATAAATTATATTCAAACTATCAACTTAAGCTAGAGCAGCTATCTTATCCAATAATAATAATCAATAGAAAAAGTATATATTCATACGGAACGTCATATGCCAATTTCCAAATAAAAGGAGGATACGAGATTCCATCGTAGGGACTCAAAATTTACATTCAATTGGCCACATGAAACTGGGAAATTGGAATTTGTCAAAAGTTGTCCAAACATGTAGTTAAAGTCGTCAATATTATGAATGCGCATAATTAATTATTCTCTTATTCTAATTTTCAATATATTTGACTATATCACATCTAAGAACGAAGAAGAAATGAAGGGAGAGGCGGATTGTTGCGTACCTAATCATCCATCCATTGTACTTTTATCAAATCAAGCATGATTCGAGGAACGTGGGCGATTTTGTTCCAATCCTTGCCGGTTTGAGGCTCACATCTTTTGCTCAGTTCACCACAGTGTTCAATACATAATTCTTTGAGGGCAGTGAGGGATCGGATTCCTTGCGGCATGGACGATAAGTTGGGACATCTGATTAAGTGAATTAATTTGAGACTTGTATGATTGGGTAACGAATCAGGAATAGATGTCAAGCTTGGGCAATCATAGACACCAAAGGACTCCAAACTGCAGGCCGATCCTTCGAGACATTGGAACAACTCCATCACTTGTTCGGAGTCATCAATTACCAGAGCACGAAGATTCAACATAAAGTTGGACTTATTCTCCGAGGTCATCGCGAACTTGCAACTAGCAATATCTAAGGACTCTAGGGCGATGAATTCCCTCAAAGGTAGAGATATTGTTCCCCCACAAACTCTAATGTCCAACCTCCGAAGGCGAATTAGTCGGCAAGTTCCTTCAAACAAGACTTGGAGATTTTTGCAATTCTCGAGTCCCAAAAAATGCAGATTTTCCAGATATTGTATTCCGCTTTCTTGTAAACTCTTTTGCTTTGTTGTTATATATAGAAATCTAAGACTGACAAGCCTTTCCATATTTTTGGGTAACTCGCCTAGCTCCAAGCAACCACTGACGTCTAACTCTAGCAAACTCTGTAACTCACAAATGGTATTTGGAAGTTTCTTCAACCGCTTGTTCTCAGATAGATCTACTGATCTCAATTGCTTCAAGTTGCATATTGAACTTGGCAGATCCTCAAAGCTACCATACGACAGATCGAGAAACCGTAAATGGTTACACTTAGAGATGAATGTTCTAGCAAATTTTCTAGTAATAACTCCATCATCAACTATGTACTGAAATATAATTGCACGTAGCCTCTTTGAAGTTTTCTTTCTCAGAAAAGGTGGGACGCCATCATAATTTGAGATTTTCTCTAAAGAAGTGGTACCGGTCGAAATATACCGTACTTTTTCTGAAATCTCTAGAGTATCTAAGTCAATAGTAGAACAATAATTTTGCCCGACACTCATTGCAAGAGAATGGATCAAATCATGCACTTTAACTATTGATACTGTTCCGGTCTCCTCAACATCTTGGATCAAAGATCTCCTCCGCAATTCTTTGACATACTCAGCACCAACGTCTTCCGGTTCTAGTTTTTCCCTTGTTAAACTAATGAGTCCTAAAGCCATCCATAGCCTAATTAAAATGCCGGTCCTGATATCAACTCCTCTGGGGAAAAGTGACAAGATAGGAAAACATTGTTTTAAGTGAGACGGTAAATGAACATAGCTAAGCTCAAGAACCGGCAAAATGTCCTTCTTCGCTTCTGCTAACTCCCATGTTTCACTATCTCTTATACGTTTCCAATGCTCATCATCATCCTTTGAATTCAGTAGGCTCCCTAGAGTTTCCAACAGAAGAGGAACTCCTTGACATTTTGTGACGATGTCTTCTCCGATCTCAAGGAGTTTAGGACGGGGTTGCTTTTCCTTTTTGTCAAAAGCACATTTTTTGAACAATGCCATAGAGTCTTCATGAGAAAGACCTTTCAGATTATGCGCTGGATGGGTACCCATTATAGAAGCAACTTCTAAACTGCGTGTTGTCACAATAATCTTGCTTTCACTAGCTCCTTCACTGAGCAAATCTCTCATTTTTTTCCATTTCCTGTGGTCAATGCTCCATACATCATCCAAGACAAGTAGATATTTCTTGTCTTTGATGATGTCTAGCAAATGAGTTTGCAACTGTTGAATACCCAAGTCACTCAAACTTTGATCAGTTGCATGTTTAATGATCTCTTCAATAATTTTCTTGAAATCGAAGTCCTCGGGTACACACACCCATATTCGCAACTTAAATCGATCTTTCACACTATCATCGTTGTAAACTAATTTAGCTAGGGTCGTCTTGCCCAAACCTCCTATTCCAACAATGGGAATCACACAGATGTTTTTGTCATCTACCGACGGCAACATCTCAATTATCTTTTTTTTATCAATATCTCTTCCGACGACATTCGACTTCTTTACAAATGGGTCAGTGATCTCTCGCGGTGGCATACGTGTCTCACTATTGTCAGCACTCCGTAGAAGACCGAATTGATCTTTATCGATGGAAATTCTAGATAATCTCTCCCAAATCTCCTTGATCTTATGACTGATTTTCCCACGGAACACGAGTGGATTAGAGAGGGAAAAGAAATGGTGTACCTTCCCTTTGATGCCCCCGTAGCGACTTATCACCTTCTTCCGTAAGGCTTCGCATTCGAGTTCATCGAGCACATCCTCCGCATCGTATAGTACATCATGAAGCCGATCTAACCACACTTGCAGGCGGTGGTTCTTCCTCTGCTGCTCCTCCGCATCTAACAACACTGCCTTAATGGCAGTCAACGTCTCCCTAAGCTCGCTGATTTGGTTCTCGACACCATAAATCTCGACGGCTTCTTGGAGGGCGCGGGAGGCTATCTTCCCAAGCACCCCCTCAGCGATGCTAAAGAGGTCTGCCATGTTTTTCCGAGGAGGGAATGGGCTAAAATGGTGGATGAAATTGATTCTTGGCTATTTGGCTTGAGAATTGGATGGTCTAAACAAGAATGTCTCAATGTCTACATTTCATATTAGTACGTACCAGTCCTTTTATAATGGACGATTCCACGTCAGTGATGGTAGCAACCTGAATATAATACCAGGTAGCTTGCTAATTATTCTCTATCAAGGGATATAAAGTTCATATTTAAAATGTATATATTGCTAATCGTATATTGTTAATTCATGCCCGTTCGGTACAACTGACGATGCCTTGTCGTGACTCTATGATGGCCGTGCAGTGGCGTATGAATATCACACTTCAAATATATATTAAGTATGTTACTAGTTTTGTTTTACAAGTAGCACATGTGCCGTTGATTTAAAGGATAAAAGCAGCCAATCAAAGACGTCTTTGAACTTGGAGGAGAGATCATCGCATTATCATTTACTGCAATCATGCTCTAATAGTGGGACAACCGAGAAATTTTGAATTTTTTTTCCTTTTGCTGAACATCGCAATTTTGAAATTGTTCAATGGGAACCGTTCCATGGGTTCAAATCGCGTTTAAAATGAACGATTCCACATCAATGATGGTAACAATCCGAATATAATACTCGGTGGGTTGCTAATTATTCTCGATCAAGGGATATGGTCAACGGTCAAAAAAATGTATAGGATACATTTGCTAATCGTTTATCGTAATCCACGCCCGTTCGGTACATCTAGCGATGCCTTGTCGCGACTCTATCGTAGTTATCGAGAGAGACAGAGTGGGCAGAGAAAGTGGGGGACAGAGGGAGAAAAGGAGGGAAAAGTGAGAGAGAAAGAGGAAAGGAGAGGAGAGAAGTAGAGAGGCACGTGTGACAGAGAGTAAGGGAGGAGGAAGAAAACAGAAGAAGAAAAGAAAGAAAGAGAGAGGAAAGGAAAGAAAAGGAGGAGGGAGGGGTCAAATGAGTCAGAAAGAAAAGGTCAGGAGGAGAGAGAAAGAGAGAGGCGGGACCACGAAAATAAAAGAGGGAAAGAGGAGAGTGAGCTGCGAGATACCGAGGGAGAGGAGGAGAGCTTGTGTGCAAATGAACGATTTTCAATGAAAATTTAACTGCAGTAGCTATGTTGGAATTGTGCAAAATTTATAATTAAATTAACAAAATTAAAAAAATTTATAACTGAATTGACATCGCATATTTAATTTAGAATTAATTAAACAATTTCTCTTTTCATATAATTGCAAGAATTTTCCTACTCACAATTATTTTGTTATGGACTTAAAGACAACGAATGGAGTAAGCAATTGAAGTCATTATTTTATCATTCCCTCTCCCTAGCAAATGTGCTCAAGCGCCGTGTGCGCGCGCACCAAATTGACATTCGAAAGATTAAGCAAAGATTAATTTTTTCACGACATATTTGATTTATTAAATAATGGATATAGATTATTGATAAATATACACAATACGAACAATGCGCATAAATATCTATGGAAAGAGAAAAGGACTTTGAGATTTGAAATCTTGCTAGGAAAGCTGTTGTGGGATCGAAAAATATGTATATCTTTTAATATTAGAAAGTGAGAGATAAAATAAAATTATAAAATTATTCATTTTATCGTGGACTCATATTTGTAAAATAATAATTAAGGATATTTGAGTGAAGAAAGAGCAAATGACTGAGATCCCTTAAAAATAAGAGGCCCTCTTTGATTTACAAAAGCCCCCCATCTTTTGTTGAAATTGCCTTTTAAGAGTTTGTCGTCGTTTAACCCCCTCTCCAGGACTGGATATGCTTGGGACTTCCGTTAGATAAAGAAACTTTAGAATCTTTTTGAGCAGAGGATATGCTTTTCTTGTCCCCCTGAGTGTCGGATTTTTTACGGAATTACCTACGTTTCTCCAACAGTCTTAAAGCTACAGGTGTTCAAGTAATTTTCTTGCCTTTTATCTTTTAACTTTCTGTTAAGTGACAGCTCATTTATGCACTAATTGTCTTCTCTGCTCGTCTGGGGGGTTTTATGCATGTTAACTTTAGATCCACACCCTATTGAAAGACGTGAAAGCTTTGGCAGGTTCCCTTTCCCATATCTCCATTTCATTGTCTTTTTAGATCCACACCCTTTTGAAAGGATTGGGAAAAGAAAAAATGGCTGCCAGTGCAGACATTCCAATGCTGGTGTGTGGGAACTCCTATTCAGTTCCTAGAAGGGGTTTTTTGTAATTATGGTGGGAAAATGAATCAACGAACGTGAGCAAAATGAGATACGTCTTCCATTCCTGTGATGCAACAATGCTTTCTGCAAGGTTTACTAGATTCATGACTCTTTGGCCACATGGCCGTAATAAGCTGAATTCCATGTGATGATTGTTAATGCTGCTTGCAGTGCTCCTCGTGCACTCCTCGCGGAGGGAAAGGTCGATCCTTTGCATCCAGATTTAGTGGTTGACCCTCTAAATATCCCGCGTCCCCCCCCCCCCTTAGCAAGCTGACCCATCAATTGCTACCAGACCCATCAATTGCTACCAGTAATCTTTTGACATGCATAATCGCTGTTTGAAGCATAACACTCCTATAGGTCAAATTTAATCTTGTAGGTCACTCCCATGCTTTCTTATAGGTAAAATTTTATATCGCTTGTTATTAACGCCAGAACAGGATCTTGCGAGTGTCGCGACCTTCCGAGAGGTAACCAAGGAAAAACTAAAGGATTATTAAGCAAACGCTTAGCAAGGACTCTACCAAACCCATATCAATCGCAACGTTGGTGTTTTAAGTTAATTAATTAAATATGCAAATCAATTCATTTTGAAATCGCCACTAATCTATTACGGATCGATTAGCAAAACGTGAGAGAACATTTTATTTCTGTGAACCAAACACTCTGAATACAAAGACTTGGTTACGCTAGATTAATTAAACGCTATTTCGATACATTTTCTTTTCATTTTGAAAATATTTTGCATGCAGTCTTTGTCGATTTTATCCTAAGCTACTAATATATGAAGATGATCATGCAGGGATGAGCAAGCAATTAAAGAATAAACAAGAAATAAAGCAATAAAGATGTGATAGCAAAGCTGTAAATAATGAGAGGAAATAAGAAGCACAGCAGTATTGGTTAGAATAAAGCATGGTCTCATTATTAAACACCCCCGAGACAAGACCCCTTGAGCTATGTGTGAAAAACAGATGAATATATTGCTGATAGTATAATGTTAATCCATGTCTGTTCGGTACAACTAATGATGCTTTGTCGTGACTCTATGATGGCCGTGCAGCGGCGTATGAATGTATCGCACTTCACATGAATATTTATTACGTTACTAGTTTTGTTTTACAAGTTGCACATGTGCCATTAATTTTAAGGATCAAAACAGCCAATCAAAGACGTCTTTGAACTTTGGGGAGAGATCATCGCATTATTGTTTACTACAATCATGTTCTGATAGTGGGACAACCCGAGAAATTTTGAATTTTTTTTTCTTTTTGCAGAACATCAAAATATTGAAATTGTTCAATAGGAACACTTCCAAGGCCTCAAATCACATGTTAATGAACGATTCCTCGTCAATGACGGTAAACACCCGAATATAATATTTCTCGGACAAGGGATATGGTCAACGGTCAGAAAATGTATATTATATATTGCTAATCGTTTATTGTTAACCCATGCCCGTTCGGTACATCCAGCGATGCCTTGTCGTGACTCTATTGTAATAATCGAGAGAGAGAGAGAGAGCGGGAGGGAAAGTGGTAGGGAAAGATAGAGGAGGAGAGAGGGACGTGTGAAAGAAAGAGAGGGGAGGAAGAAGAAAACAAAACAAGAACAGGGAGAAAAAGAAAGGAAAGAAAAGGGAGAGGAGGGAAGGGTCAGACCAGTACGAAAGGGAGAGAAAGAAAGAAAACGAAAAGAGAGGCGGGACCACGATAAAATAATGACAGAGGGTAGAGGAGAGTGAGCTGCGAGAAACCGAGGGAGAGGAGGAAGAGAGCCTGCATACACGTTAAACGATTTTCAAAGAGGAATCGGCTGGAAGGATTGTATTAGAATCGTGCAAAGATAATGATAATATTGGTAAAATTAAAATGTTTAAAACTGAATTAACATCCATAAAATTAATTTAGAATTGATTGAATAATTTCTCCTTCCACGCAATCGAAGGAATTTACTACTGAGAATTGTATTGTTCTTGACTTAAGTTAACGAAAGGGGTAAGGCAATCGAAGTCATTACGTTATCATTCCCTCTCGCTACCAAACGTGCTCAAGCGTTGTGCGCGCGCAACAAATTGACATTTGAAAGATTAAGCAAAGATTATTTTTTCACGAAATGTTTGATTTATTAAATAATGGATATAGATATTATTGATAAACATACACAACACGAGCAATGGAACAAGAAAAGGATCTTATCTTTTAACCATTTTTTTTAAGTGACAGCTCATTTACGCACTAATTATCTTTTCTTGCTCGTCTTGGGGGTTGTCATACTTCCGGCTGGAGTGCAGGCTAACGGCACATGTTAATGTCCCCTGAGATCTCAAAAGACGCGAAGCTTTGGCAGGTTCCGTTTCCCATTATATCTCCATTTCATTGTCATTTTAGATCCACGCGCTGTTGAAAGGATTGCAAAAGAACAGCTGCCAGTGCAGACCGTTCCGGTTCGTAATTTAAAATTTTAAAAAATAAATTATAAAATAAAAAAATAATGAATTATAAAAATATCAAATAATAAATTATTCAATATAAATTATAATCAAAATGAAAATTATAGGGGTGATCGGTTCCCGGTCGAAACCGAACCGAATCGGTAAGACCGGTTCTTTAATTTTAGAACTAGGAACCGAATCGGCAAATCATAGAGCAGGAACCGGACCATTGGTCTGGTCCGGTTCTAGGCGGTCCAATGGAATCCTTTGCTCTTAACTAGCAAAGGATCGTAACCACAAAATGTATACAACTTCACATGCTCATGGCTTAGCTTGGGTTTTATAAACAACCCATTTGATGGTCTCTTCATTCCCATTCGATGTGGGACTCTTGGCATTTGCATGAAGACAAGCCAAGAGTCTCACATTGAAGGTGTTCAAGACAAGCCGAGAGTCCCACATCGATTGGG